GAGTTTTTAAATATGATTGGATAACTATAAATGATTGTGTGTTTTTCATAATGTCAACAATGAAGACAAGTTTGTCAGTATTCAATGCTTTTGTTTTATTTCTTCCGGCTCTGCTGTTTGTGGATATGACGAGTTTAATTTAGCTACTTGCTGTCTCTCATAAGGGGTTAGCAAGTTTTCTGGGTGTCCTCCTGAAAACTTGTTCATGTATTAAGAGATGTTTACAGGAAATGTAAATATAGTAATTGGTAATTATGTCACTGGAAAACACTGACTAAAAACATCCATCCATTTTCTGTACACCCTTGTCCCTAGTGGGGTCGGGAGGAGTGCTGGTGCCTATCTCCAGCGAACGTTTTGGGCGAGAGGCTAGTCAATCTGGATGGGTTGCCTATCTGTCATAGGGCAACACAGAGACAAACGGGACAAACAACAATACACACAAACACTCACACCTAGGGAGAATTTGGAGTGGCCAATTAACCTGACTGTCATGTTTTTGGACTGTGGTAGGAACCTGGAGAGAACCCACACATGCACAGGGAGAACATGCGGAAAGACCTTAGACTGGGAATCGAATGCAGGACCTTATTGCTGCAAGGCAACAGTGCTACCAATTGACTTAAAAACAACAAATCAAAAACAAAACTAAAATAAATGTCAATTATTTGTGCTTCTTTTAAATCAAAATTAAATCAGCAGTTGGTGAATCTAAAAAAAACCCCAATGTTATGCATTTGATCACATTTACAACTGGCCCATAAATGAACTAACCAGCTGACGTGTAGATTCAGAAGACTACATTCTAGGCAGGATATTTGATCCCCAGTCCTTCACGGGCCCATTAATATTAATAATTTAGCACAGATTTAGAGATTTAACATTGAAGAATATTAATTCTGTTAAATTTGATTCAATGGTTTCAGCACAGATTTTAAATTGCTTAACATTTAAATGTAAGATTTCAAGGAGCTGGCATAGCTACAATCTGATGCTTTGAGTTTGAGCTCTTAACAAATACATCTCGCTAAACTATAATTTGTTGATTGCTTTTAAGGTTGGCCAATTAAAGTTTCTGTTTTTTTCTAAATCCATAATGAAATACTGTTAGTGGTGCTGAGGGGCCCCTAAATCAAATTCTGGTCAAGGCTTCATACAACCTTGGCCCGGCCCTGCATGACAAAACCCCCTTTACTGCATCTCTGATGGATACTGAGGGACCAATAGGGAGAATTAATTTATGTGGCTCTTCCATTTGATGTCTATTGAGTTTTTAAAAAGCACCACAAAAACTTTTGGTTGCCTGAGCTTTTTGGGATGAGTTTTTCTGTTATCTGCATGGCAGCACACAGCAACTCTGCCTGAAAGCATTCGATAACACTGTGTGATGCATTGTCTTATCGCAAAAAATAAGATTAAAAAAACTTGTGTTTTGTGACGTGGACTGAATCACTGACCCACTAATAACTGGTGGTCACATTCTTAAACTTTATCAGCACAGACACACATGTATTCACATGTAAATGCTCATGCCACACATAATGCTTTGTTCACAAAGAAATATATTTCATGCCTGACTTATAATACATGAAGGGAAACCCTGGGTTGGGGTCAGAGGGCACAGAGTGGAGTTTTGGCAAAGTGACCGCCAGGTTCTTGGCCTCCCGAACTGAAGCCCTTCTGCTATGAGCTGATGGCTTCGTTCAGAAGGCAGCAGCTCTTGGAAAAGAGCTGCTGCTGTAAAGAGAGACGCCACGTCTCTCTACGTGGCGTCTTTGAACTACTGGCTTCCTCCACTGTTCAGCTCACTGGGATCTCCGAGCAGCAGAGATGTTTCTGGATTCTTCTCTGGATTTCTGCCTCAAGACAATCCAGTGAACGAGGTCTACAGACAATTCCTTTGATTTCATGCTTGGTGTTTGACCTTTGACCAGCACGGTCAACTGTGGGACGTTACACAGATGGATGTGATCCTTTCCAAATAAATTCAGTTAACTGAGTTTACCACAGGAGGCTCCATTTAACCTGTAGAAACATCTCAAGGGTGGTCAGAGGAAACAGTTCACTGGTAAATGGCTTTCTGTGTTTTTTGCAACATTCAGAGCAGTAATTATGAGGCACCTTGTTAAACAGGAATCTTTAGGAAAATATAGTTCAGCAGTTGGCAGGAGTTATTCCTGTTCCATTGACACCTTTCTGCATTTGTGATGACGGTGGGTTATTGATCTGTTAATTGCTAATTATCACGTTGGGATCTCAATGAGCAGTAATTTTTACCAGCAGTAATTTTTGCTCATGTTAATTTGCAACTTACTTTAGTGTTTCTAATTTCTGCCCTTAATATAAGTGATGGTTCCCTTTGGAACAGTGTTTGTGTGATGTAAAGCCAGCCTTCCTACTGCCCAGTTTCAGTTGAAGCTGAGTTTTAGGTAGGTTAACTGGTCAGAGTGGGAGTTGTGTGTTTCCCCAGTGTGCCTTTGAGCTGCTTTGAGATGGAGTGAGTTTGTCTCCGTCTTTCCTCATGAAGAGAGAGACAGGCACCAAGTGGACCAACGGGAACCGAGACAGTGTCCACGCCGGTACCGCCCCATGAGGAAGGGATATGCGGAAACTGGGTACATGTTAATATGTCACCATGAGATCAGATTGTGTAAAAAAAGATACATTTTCACAGGGCCGTGCAGAGACTAGTAAAGGGGCAGGTGCTCAAAAAAAAAAAAAAAGGGCACATCAAATCACATTTTAGGACAGAATATTGACAAAGTCACACAGCTCTCAGAGTTTAATTAACAATGATAGATTACAAAATTGTGAGACATACAATCAAAGAACATCTGCTTGGGTTGCTGTACTTGCAGTGGAGATGAAGACGGTTCATTCAGAAAAACAGAGCTGCATCAAACTTTAACGTGGAACTGCAGGAAAAAAACAAAAGCAAAAATGTAACTAATGCATGTCACTATGAGAAAAGACTACTCTAATTGTGTTTTAGTGTATTTTGTAAGTACAGCATTGGCCTACATACGGTGTACTTTTCTATGTACATTTTCTTCAATCTTTCCTCTTCTTTTTTTCTTGTCAGTTTCTCTTTTCTTTTTTTCCTCATTGTCTCATCTTCTCTGTGTTGAGTGAAGTCTTATTTATTTCAGTCTCTTGCCTTTTAACTGTTTAAAAACAAATTTCAAACTTTTAAGCATTTTTTGCTGTTTTGTTCTCTTGTTCATAGCAACAGTTTTCTGTTGGTCATGTCTTGAAGAATGTTAATAACCTCACTGTGAATGATTGGTACAGCTGACCCAGTTGGTCAACAACTTTCTTTTTTGTTTCTGACGTCTCTCTTTACGTGGCGTCTTTGAACTGAAAAAAGCAAAACAAAGAATTATGATCAGAACACTATAATAAACCACACTACCAATTCTTTACCCTTGTGTTTAAACCAATATGTTTTTCAGTCCATAGCATAATAATATTAATTTCAGAGAAAATGAGACCTCTCCTATGGAGTTCAATTTGTTTCACAATTATTCAATTAAAATACTAACCTCAATTAAATAATATAAAATTGTGATCAAGACATTTTTTTCAACAAAAAAAGTTTAACAAAAAAATTTTTTTTAAACTGAAATCACAATTTTTTATCTCATGACTTAAAAAAATTATTTGCAAAACAAACAAACTTATTTGCGCATGTCAGAAATCTTTGCTTGCTATTCAAAGTTTTGCTTGCGATTCTCACATGAGGTCTGGGGAGAGCCTAAAATCAAAACCAAAGATTTCTGATGTGTGCAAATAAAAGTTTATGTTTGCCCCTTCATTAATGACATGCTTTATTGGACAGAAACAGTTTGATTATTACATACATTATATCTATCATGGTAGTTCAGGATGAGTTATTTTAATTCTAAATGAATATCCTTGTTGGACTTTTATTTAAATTGTCCTTCAAGATACATTTACCTAATACATCATTCACCAAAGAAAATTAGAAAATCGGACATATATCCATATCGCATAAGTAATACTGAAGAATGACTACTGTCATTAACAATACAGGGAAGCTATTTAGTTACCTTGCTTTGCTAGCAAAATCATTAGCTAGCAGCTAGCTCATAGCACAACAACAGCCTAATGTCTGATGATAAAAATACTGGATCGATAGATAAGAACAGCTTTTCCTCACCTGTCTGTCTCCTCCCGCTCAGTTTATTCAGAGAAAGGCGGACTTAGAGACTTATATTCTCTAAGACACCTGTCTTGTTATATTTCATTTCTGCTTAAACCGCGACTCCGTGCTGAGGGAGAAACGATACAACATTTAACGTTTCCCGTTATCTGACAAGTAGCAAGCCGACTCCAGTGTTTTCACCAAAAATAATTTTTTTCAGTTCACCAAAAGCTGTTTTGTAATCTGGAACGTCGCTAGCTTGAGCTCCGCACTTAGCCGCCTTATCTCACCGCGCAAGAGGCAAGTGCGTCGTGCGTCACGGGCAAAAGGTCAAAGGTAACAATGTGACCGGAGGACTTATTGTGTTGTTTTTCTTGCAAAGTAATAATAATAATAATAGTAATAATAGTAATATAGTAATAATTGTAGTACATGTGTAAGAAAAAAAACAAAACAAAAACAAAAGGGCACTTGGGGCCATGGAGCAAAAGGGGCAGGTGCTCAAGCCCCCAAAGCACCCCCCTCTGCACGCGCCTGCATTTTCAGGTGATGCAACATAACTTTTTGTTACATGGTGCTTGCGAGACGTGATGGATTTCACAATAAAACACCATTCGAGAACCTTAAACCCTGGATTCGTCTGAATTAGGGAGAAACTCACTCACTTCACAGCTGACTTTTTATCTAGTTCCTCTTACTTGATCGGTTTTTGTCAAGTTTGACATGTAATTTCAGTTCCGTCTTTCTCGTTGCTCACGCACTTTTATTTTGAAAAGTCAACCCACAAAGCCCTGTTCCCCTCCTGTCGCTTCAGCAGCAGCTGCAGCCCGGTGTTATGCTGTTCCATCACTGAGAGGAAGTGTCAGAAGATTGTTTTGGATCCTCGTACAGTGAACGGTATGTTACCTCTCCTCGCTGCTGTTAATGATGTAAAGATTCCTCGAAGCTGAATTTCTGCAGTCGGTATGAATAGTTTCTGTCAAGACTTTAGGTTTAGTTTGGTGAACTGAAGCCGTTACATGAACAGCCTGCTGTTCACTTCGCCGCAGCAAGACAACGAAGAGGAGGACGAAGATAGTGAGGAACGTGCATTATGAGGAAGGTGCAGCTGTTTCCCCAGCGGGTTCATGGATGTGTTCCACTTCAGAATCAAGTGGAACCCTGAGTAAAAGTCGAATCTGACTTGTTTTCACAGACAAAGTTCCACTTCCGTGATCTCATTGTCTCTCCTCAGTTTTTTATAACCGACTTGAAATTGATCCATCCAGTTCAGTACCTGCTGAACCTGCACTGAGTGACGGGCGAGGGCACACCCTGGACCGGTTACCAGGGCAACACGGAGACGCACGACATGAAACCATGCACACACTCACACATAAGGATAATTTGGAGAGACCAGTCACCCTGTTTTTGGTCAAGGGGGAGCAGAAGTACCCATAGAAAACACAGGTATGCTCAGGGAGAACATGCAGGAAATAGATTCCCAGAAACATTCCGGATAAAAGACAATTCACAAAAAAAAGTTTTTCCCACTTTACTTTAAAAGTCCTGAAAAAATGGAGAGCAGAGTTCACTGCAGAGTCTTTGTTTACATGGTTTACCAGCAAATTTGTCTAATCAGACCGGAGCTTCTAGGCCACCATGTACACATGCTGCACTCTGTCCATCTCTGAGGACTCAGTCTCTCTTCTGCCACTTTTAGGACAAGTTTAAAGCTATGGAAGCAGGTCACCGGTTTGTCCTTCAGTTAGCTGATGAAGTGGAAGCAAATGGACATCCCAGCATCCTCAGAGCTCTGACAGACCAACATATGGAGCTGTGTGAGGTCAGGGACATCAAGCAGACTTCTGCTGGTTGAAAAATATTTCCACTTTCCTTTGTGGACTGATCTGACCTGTTGATTCCAGTTTTCACCTTTTGTAATTCTTTCACGGAAGCCTAGAAGGAGAAACCATACTGTGGCTACCTTTGATGGAGGCAGCAGCAGTTTTAAATCCAACATTAAGGAAGTACAGATTCATTCACACATAAAATCTGAAGCTTATTTAACTTTATCTAGTTGTTATTGAACACAAAACATGCATAGAATTTACAAAACATGCATAGAATTTTTTGGTTGGGTCCACCCAAAAATAGTGGAAGTTTTGATGCAGTTAATGAAAAAGGAAAAACAGACTTTTTTGTTTTATTTTATATTAATCAATGTTCCCATGTTGATTAATATGCTAACATGTTGGTGTCACAGTTGCATTGCAGCAACCAGGGCTTTGTCTTTCAGCATGGAGTTTGCATGCTAAAAGACCAGCATGCAAACTAGATGTTACGTTCTCTCCAGGTCTTCCCACAGTCCAAATACATTTGTTAGGTTGATTGTCCTCTCTACGTTGTCCTGGTTGTGTTTCCAGGTGATGAAATCTCAACATGTCCCGCTTCTTGCCCAGTGACCGCTGGAGATGGGCACCATCTCCTCGCCTATAGCCAGGAGAAGCAGATATTGATATTGATAATTGAAGGATGTCATCAATACAAATCTTCAGATTGATAAAAATGCATGGCTGTCTGTGGCTCAAGAGATTTCTTTTGCAGCTGGTGGGTTCAAAAATGTGAACTAATAAAACTCTTCCTCTTCAGTGTTGGATTCTTTTTGGACGGCTCAGACTTAAAGAGTCATGATATCTTTTCCGAGCATTTCTTGTTTTTCTTTCTTTCCTGTGTAGGTTGAAGATGTGTGGCATCTGGGCTTTGTTTGGCAGCGATGAGTGTCTGTCGGTTCAGTGCACGTCTGCTATGAAGATCGCTCACAGGGGCCCTGATGCTTTCCGCTTTGAAAATGTCAACGGTTTCACCAACTGCTACTTCGGCTTCCACCGGCTGGCCATTGTGGACCAGCTGTATGGTATGCAGCCACTACGAGTCAAGAAGTTCCCTTACTTGTGGCTCTGCTACAACGGAGAGATTTACAACCACCAAGCAGTAAGACAGCTATAAAAATGCTTTTATAAAACCAGGCATGACAAACCAACCAACACCATGGAATCTGAAAACAGACCACAGTTTGCTGTAACAGAGTTTGCTCTCCACCGATGATCCCTGTCAGTAGCTACTAGGGTTCATTGCTACTAAATTATACCACAGTTATTGTTCGTGGAATTGTAACACACTGATTAGAACATAAAGCCAGTGCATCTGAGGCACAGAGGGATTTATTTATTTTATTTATTTTTGCAAACTCAGAAGCTGTAGACTTCCAGGCATCATGCAATCTCCAGGTAAGTTCAAGAATGGCACTGGGTCACAAAAAACAATGTTTTGGAAGTTGTCTGATTTTTTTTTTCTTTGTTTTTCAACTGAATTAGGACTATTTGGCACCAGTGAATCAAAAAATGATATCCATTTTTCTCAATCAGGTCAGGTTTTTATTTTAATTTGATTTTCGTAAAACTTGATCTTCTGACTAAACTGATTACATTTTTGTGACATTATTAGTTCATTTCTGTTAATATTTCTTTTTCAAAAACAGGTTTTAGGAGAAAAAATGTTTTCTATCAGTTTATTAATTAAATATAAACTTGTAAATTGAATAATAAACAGTGATGAAGGTCAGTGCATGTGAATTGAGCATAATGTCTTCCTTATGTAAAATTCTCTCTCTTTCCTGTCCTGATGGAATCTCTCCTCCTGCTCATCTCATTGATCAGCTTCTCAGCAAACCAATCCAGATGTGAGAACAAGTCATGTATTTTGATGTTCATGTTGCTCCATAAGTTCAGAAAGTTGACCTGATTGAGCAAAACCAATGTTATTTTGGATTCAGCTCATCAACATAACCCTAAAACAGATGAAAAACCGCAGACAATATTTTGGTTGTTTACCAGTGTCACTAGAGAGTTGGAATTAGTTTTTAAGACCAATCAGCAGTACAGTTCAACACATATGCATTTGTTATATGGTAATGAAATATGCATTCTAATGGTGAAGTACCCCACCATTAGCCTGTGAAGCAGTGGTTAATGATTCTCATGCCTTGGTCTAACAAGCTAATGGACCCAGACTGATCTGTTGACTTGCTAAGAATGGGATGTCTTTAAAGTTATACTTCTGGCATTTGTATGTTTTTATATGTATTTTTAATGTTTGCAGATGGTTTTGATGAGCGTAAATCACAAACTCTGCCACTGTTTTTTGTCCTTTCAGCTGAAGACAAAGTTTGACTTTGATTATCAGACTGAAGTAGATGGTGAAGTTCTGCTTCATCTGTATGACCGCTTTGGAATCCAGAAGATGGCTTCTCTTCTGGACGGAGTATTTGCTTTCATCCTGCTGGACACGGCCAACAGAAAAGTCCACCTGGGGAGAGACACGTACGGCGTCCGGCCGCTCTTTAAGTTCCTCGCTGACAATGGCTTCCTTGCAGTCTGCTCAGAGGCCAAAGGTGCTGGGTTAGCTTAGAACAGTTACCTGAACGAACTGGTGAGGTTGTCTCAGAGAACACGAGTTAACTTGTACTTCTGATTGTAGGCCTTGTAGAGATCACCCACTCCATGGAAACTGCTACCAGCATCGTTCCCTTCCTCCCTGGCCACTTTGAAGTCTTTGACTTGAAGCTGAACGGCAAAGTTCAGTCGGTTCAGCTTGAGCAGTTTCACTGCTGTACCAGAGAGCCGGAGCACGCCCTGTACAATATGGTGGAGGGACTGTCTTCAGGTGAGAAACTTCCTCTACCGACTTCAGTTTCTGACATACTATCTATAATCAAACCAATGTGTTCCAGATTTTGGGGAGGAAACGGTGAAACGCAACATCAGAAGTCTGTTTGAAAACGCTGTGAGGAAACGCCTTATGGCCCACAGACGCATCGGATGTCTGCTGTCAGGTAGCTGCTGCCATTTGAATCCGACAATGGTGATATTCATCTCATGCATGATGAAACTGCATGAAACTGCACCTACGTTAAAAAACGTAGGTGTTCTAACACCTACGTTTCTCTTAATGATGATCATTTTCTGGTTGCAACTAATAAAAACATGACATTTTAAATTAGAATATTTACATCTGACCAGTAAAAAAATGCAATTCTACAAGAAGAAATGTGGGCTTAATGAAAAGTATGTTTAATACCTGCTTAAAGGTATTTTTAACCTGACAAATGAAACTCATCAAGATATTCTAATGTATTTAATATGACTGTAAATTTAAAAATGTAGTTTATATGATTATTTCATCCATGAAGAGAAAATGCTTTCCAAAGCTGGCTCAGTCTCACTAGACACACCCAGATCTGATCGAAAATTAATCCAGACTCAAGAAATCATAGAACAAACACAATAGGGTGTATCCGCACACCAGCCCTGTTCAGTTCGCTTTAATCCAACTCAATGGTTTGCCTAGAAAGTTCGGTTTGTTTGTGAAAGTGTGAATGTGTAGTCGAACTCTGATGTGGACCAAAAAATTTAACTCTGGTTCTTCTATAAACTTCGGTCTGGGTCCAGTTGAAGTGAAATCTGGTGTGGTTAGAATGCATATATGAACACCAAGCGAACCAGAGAGCGCTCCAAGCGCAGAAAGTGGACTACAGCACAGGGCATTCTGGGTTCTCCAGCAGGACAAAAGTCTGCACACCAGCAATTAGACCCCTGAGTGGTTATAAAAACAGAATGATTTTGTCAGGTCTTGACTAGTCTGACTGACATGCTGACCTTAAACAATTTAGAAATACCTAAAATGTGCTGAAATAAAGCAGAGTGGGTCAGAATTTCTCCACTCAATTTCTGTTTAACTAAGAGCTGCTAGCTTTGGGATGCAATTGATTTTTTATATAGTGTTTATATTTTTTATATAGTGCTTTATATAGTCTGACTATATAAAACACTATATAATTAGAGTTTTATTCATGAATAAAACTCTAATTTTAAAACTGGTTTTCTGTTTTACTCTGGTAATATTTGTTTTGCGTTCAAATTTATTTGATGACCTGAAACTGTAGTGTTTTCAGACAGATTTATTTTATTTCTACTCAGTGGAACAGAAGTGACATTTATTTTAGTACAAACATAAATCACATGTGAATGAAAGAAAGAAAATGAAAGAAATCTGTAAGAAAATACTTCTCTCAGTACTAACAGTGTAATAAAATTGACCATTTTTGATCATTCAATTTTTTTGAGAGAATGGTGGTGCAAATGGAGTCATTGCTGTTGTGTCGTCTGATGGTCAGGCGGTCTGGACTCCAGTTTGGTTGCGGCCATACTGCTGAAGCTGTCCAAAGAGGAGAAGCTGCCGTATTCCATTCAGACATTTTCCATCGGCTCCGAGGACAGTCCTGATGTCATGGCTGCTAAAAAGGTCAGCTTAGCAATTTTTCAACTTAAATCATCTGTGGTTGATTCATGGAAGAAACTTTGGTGTACTCTCCAATCATTAAATGTTTAAATTCTGATGATTCCAGTGAGCCACTGGTTTGTTCTATGTGTTGTCAGGTGGCTGCTCACATCGGCAGTGAGCACCACGAGGTGCAGTTCACCACAGAGGAAGGAGTCAAAGCTGTGGAGGAGGTCATCTTCCACCTGGAGACCTACGACATCACCACTGTTCGAGCCTCTGTTGGTTAGTGATGGCTGGCAGCAGACAGAACCTCCCGACTTTAACCAACAGCTGTTTGAGTAAAATGAACGTCGTTCTTTTATTCTATGAACTACTGACAACAACTCTGAAATTCCAAGCAAATATTTAGTATTTATTTGCAAAAAATGAGAAATTGTCAAAACAACAAAAAAGATGCAGTGCTTTAAGACCTCAAATAATACAAATAAAGTTCATATTCATTTAGAAACATCAATATTGATGTTTTAACTCAGGAAGAGTTCAGCAATCAATATTTGGTGGAATAACCAGGATGTTTTCAATGGGGTTCAGTACAGTAGACTTTTCATTTTTGCCAGAGCTGTATATCTATAAATATCTTTGCGATGTGTGTTCAAAACAGTCAAGATATTGTTTGTTTCCAATTTTTGCACATCTTGTCATCCCTCAGTAGAAATGAGTCAAAAAGCCGCTACAGATCAGCCTAGAGTTGGTTTCTGTTTTCAGGGGAATCAACACCCAGACTGCTAAGAAAATAACTTGTGGCTGTACATTTCTGCAGCCTGGAGAGTTTACTGATGAGACTGATGTGCTCACAATTACCATATTCCTCTTTCCACCCGAGTGACTTTTTTGAATTGACCTTGTATCCAGTGAGTCATGGTGAGATCAGAGGGCGACAGATGGGGTGTGAACTGCTCCTGTTGTCTAACCACTCCTTAAAAGTCATATTGTAACGTTTGAAGGCATTGAAACAGTAAAAGTAAACTTGCTAAGATTAAAGTTTCCTCCCCGGCAGGGATGTACTTGGTAATGAAGTACATCAGGGAGAAGACAGACAGCGTGGTGATCTTCTCTGGAGAGGGCTCTGATGAGCTGACTCAGGGTTACCTTTACTTCCACAAGGTAGGTTCTCCAGGAAGCTTTCTGTTACACCACCAGCCTCCAGCTCTGATTCTCTGTCTCGCAACTGCATGATGAGATTTCTAAAGTATTCCAGGTGAGGTTCATCATTCAGCTCACAAATGCTTCACATGTGATTTATGTTTGTACTAAAATAAATGTCACTTCAGTTCCACTGAATAGAAATCATCACAATCCAGTCCAGAATCATGTTATGTTGTAACCAGAAGTATTATTAGTAACTCAGTTGTACTTTTATTTACAGTTTGAATCTCCAGTAGCTATAAAAAGCATTCACCGCCTTCATAATTTATCCTTTTATTTTACAAATTAATCATGATCAACAAAATGTGACTATTTTTGACTAAAAGAAATACAAAAAAGACTTTTTGACATCAAGGTGAAAATTAACTTCTACAAAAATAATGATGGTTAAAAAAAATAATAAATACCATAAAATAAGTGACAAATACTAAATACAGTCACTATTTAGTATTTGTCCCTCTAGCTCCGTCACAGCAGGGAGTCTATGTGAATCGCTTTCAGTCACTCTGCTCATCTGAACGCTACATTTTTCCTCCATTCTTCCTGCTGAACTCCTCCAGCTCTGTCAGGTCAACTGTGAGCAGGTCTGGACTTTGACTAGGCCACTCCAGAACCTCCTCCTTGTTGTTTTCAGACCGTCTCTGTGTATGTTTAGCTGGAAGCTTCAGTTTGACAAATGTTCTCTGAAGCTGAAGCACTCTGGAAGATAGAAACTGACTGTTTGATTTCCTAGCATTCATTTGACCTTTGTCCTTTCAGAGCCTTCCAGGAGCTGCTGCCACCATCATATTTCACAAAAGGATTGTTATGTTTGTGGTGATGTGCAGTGTTTTTGTCCTCTAAAAACAGCATCTTAATAAAAAAATCGCATCAGCACCAAAGAAGTTTCTTCCTCCTGACCATAGAGCCTTTAGACAAACATACTTTAGTCCAGCCTTGATGTGAGTTTTCCTCACTTCCTCATCGCCTCTCTCCCATAAAAAGAATCAATGGTTGTCTGCAGACTCTCTCCATCTCCATCTGCTACAGCTTGGAGCTCCTTCAGCATAGTCATGGTAACCTGGTGTCCTCTGTTTCTAGTCTCCTTCACATAGACTAGTGCTCAGGTTGTGAGGAGATGTTATGGACTTTAGAGATTTAATTTTTTGCACCCATCCTCTGACTGATACTTTTCAATAACTTTTTCTCCATTATTTTCTTTTGTTTCTCCAAAAAGCCAGATTTTGTTGTCGTGATAGCATAAAAAAAGCAAGGGGGCAAATACTTTTTATAGCCAATGTAACTAGCTGAGCTGTGAAGGCAGGATGTCAAATTCAGCTGAGTCTTTGCTAACTGGGCTCTTTCCTCCTCCAGGCTCCAAGTGCCAAAGCAGGAGCAGAGGAGAGCGTCCGCCTCTTAAAGGAACTCTACCTGTTCGATGTTCTTCGTGCTGATCGGACCACCGCTGCACATGGGTAAGACCTGCCACACCTCCACTATGACTCCACACTGGAACCATTTAGATAGACAATGAGCAAACTTTATGCTAACTGAACATAGCATCCGATCAGTGTAAGAACCCCTGGTTATAGTCGTCTCCATCAAACACTCTATGGTTCTGGACAAAGAGAAGAAGGGGATGTACTTAAAGGAGCAGTATTATGTATTTTCCAGGCACACTATGCTACCTTAAGTTGTTATAAAAATGCTGTAAATATCAATCTGTCTCTTTAAGAAGCTCCTGCTCTTTTTTGCCTGTAGTATAAAATGGGATGATTCTCCTTTACTAACTGACTTCTTCATGGGACTCTACCACATGCACAAGAAGCATGTAATTAGCATGTAATTCTAACTAGTTGAATGAAAACAGTTAATAGAAACACATTTCTGTTTTTTCAGCTTGGAGCTTAGAGTGCCTTTCTTGGACCACAGATTCACAGCCTACTACCTTTCACTTCCTGAGGAGATGAGAACTCCTAAGGTCAGTTCCTCAGTTGCTCCATTCTGTGTAGCAGAAGAATCACTCTGCTGCTTTGATGAAGCTGCTTGACCTGTATGAGCAGGACGGAGTGGAGAAACACCTCCTCAGGGACTCTTTCAAAAGCCTGAACTTGATTCCTGATGAGATCCTGTGGAGACGGAAGGAAGCCTTCAGTGATGGTATGATGTCTGAGAAGAAGTCCTGGTACACCTACCTGCAAGAGCATCTGGACTCTGTGGTAAGTGTGAGTCTAGCAATGCTGACAGTGAACCAGCTAATGAATAGCATCAGGTTTATGTTGAGATTCACTTCACATCATCAGTCTGTTTTTTAATAGTCTGGAAAAGAAAATGTCTGCTAAACTCACTGCTGTCTCACATTTCTCATTAGCTATTTTTATAAGATAAAATTTGCTGTGATTTGTTGGACTGATCCCTGCCTTACTACGATCACGATGTTCTGTCTGCTCTGTGGCCACTCATGTCGAGTAAACATGTTCTATTATGACTGGGTCTGTTGGGGTCTGTTGGAGAAGCTCTGGAGATTGTTCTACATAAGAGGATGCTTCTTCTGGAGACAGCAATATAACAACATGCTGCCTTCAGTCAGAGGCTTCTGTAGCAGGCCTGTAATACAGAGATCAGTCCTGCCCACAGCCACCAAGCACAACAACTGAAGAAACCTGAATGACATGAGCCACTGCAGCATTTAACAGGCTCATTGACTGCCTGCAAGGCGGGCGAATGCTCAACAGGAAGTAGTTTCTGAACCTGCGCCAGCCCATACTCTAACCGGTCCAGTGTGCTCCCCAGGTTAACAACAGCCAGATGGAGAAGGCTAAGCAGACTTTCCCCCACAACCCTCCCAGGACCAAAGAGGCCTATTACTACAGACAGGTGTTTGAGAAGTTCTTCCCGGGCCATGCCCAGTGGCTGCCCCATTACTGGATGCCTCGTTGGATCAGCGCCACTGACCCGTCAGCACGGACCCTGTCCATCTACAAACCTGACAAACATCAGTGATTGGCCGGAGCTTCTATGTGTTTCTGCCTATTATGTCAGGCTGTTATGCCTGTCAGAGGTCAGCTGGAGACTGAGTTGACTTTGGGACCCCACATTCTCTGCCTTTAGTCCACAGCTGCATAAGCAGCCCATGATGCTGTGTAGAAGCTCTAAGATAGCTTCAGCCTTCAGATTTTGTTCATTTTTCTACCATTTGTTGCTAGCGCTCTGAGGAACAGCGTAGTGGTCTCCGTTAGTCCATCTGTACCTAGAACCATCCAGCTCACCCTCTGTTGGTGTGGAGCTCCTGGCAGCTCTGCAGTGTTCGGTTTATCTGATGTTCACCACTGGAGGTCTGTTAAATAAAAGCAAACTCCATGAATCGTCTCAGGGTCCTCTGTCAGCCTCTGGTTCTTTGTCATGCTGGTATATACTGAGCATCTCTTTCTACAAGTTGCTTCAAAAGCTTAAGAAACATCACACAAAATCTAAACCATCAAGTGAAGAAGTTAGTAATTGAACAGCAGATGGGTAAGGATCTATGAGAGAATCAAAATGTAAAGTGAGATAAAGTTACATTATAACTATGTGCTCCATTTAAAATGTTTTTTCATATTTCCTTATCAGAAATACTCAATGTAGTCTATGTTACTTTATAATATACAAACTCCGTATAGTGGCTGACTTGAGCGCTCTGTTCCATTCAGCATGGCTAAAGGAACATCAGTTGTTTTGGGATAATAACACTGGGTTACAAAAAAATGTTTTTTTGGAAGTTGTCTATGTTTTCAAATGAATTAGGACTATTTGGCACCACTGAATTCAAAAATGAAATTTTTTCTCAATCATATCAGGTTTTTATTCTGATTTGATTTTTGAGAGATCTGATCTTCTGACTAAACTGTTTACATTGGAACATTATCAGTTCATTTCTGTTAATATTTCTCATCCAAGAAAGGTTTTAGGAGGAAAAAAATGTTTTCTGAACTTTTATTAATTGAATGTCACAAACATGGATTTCTATAAATTGAGTAATAAACACAAGGAATCTTCCTTGTGTAAAATTTTTCGTCTCTTTCCTGTCCTGACGAAATCTCTCCTCCTGCTCATCACTCATTGATCAGATTCTCAGCAAAGAAATGTGAGAACAAGTCATACATTTTGATGCTCATGTTAAATGATAAAAGCAATATAGTCTCTCTCATCCAAAGATATATAAAAAATGTTCCTCATTTATCCAAATTTCTAAATCCAGCTCAACAGCTTGTAAGATATGCGAGCAGATCACCAAAAAAATCCATAGTTTAGAAAGTTGACCTGATTGAGCAAAACCAATGTTAGTTTTGGATTCAGCTCATCAACATGACCCCAAAACAAATGAAAAACCCCAGGCAATGTTCTGGTTGTTTTGAGAAAAGATAGAAATGCTTGGATTTCTCTCCATCTCTTTTCAGATAGGTGACTCAGTTAATAATTTTCTTTATTTCTTATATTTGTCTTATTTTTCTTTTAATTGTACAGATATTTTTACTAAGCAATGGATCTGCATATTGGGAATCAAACTTATGACTCGTGGTAAAAACCCAACAACACTGGCTTGTATGAAACATGGGGGGCCTTACTCATGAGTCAGCTCTCTGCTATGCATAAAACAGTTCTCAAGTGTGTGAAGATGTAATATAGCACATCTTTCTGCATCCATTAATCCAAACCGGCCCCAATTTACGGGTCGTGCCAGGAAGAAATGTTTTAATTTAAATGGGATTGCTTTGAAAGCAACTGGTGTTCCAAGAATGGACACCAGGGGGCATGGGTGTCCTTTTTATGAGCTGAGCAAAGCATCCAGCTCCATCACACTGGAATACTGATGTGTACCGCAGCAGGCCTAAGGGCCTTCAACTCAATGCCCAAGGGGCCACTGTCCTGCTAGGTTTAGATATGTATGCTCCAATACACCCAAGTTCGTGAATAAGGTCATCAGCAGGACTCTGGAGAACATGAGTAAGGTAATTCAGCCTTCCATTCAGGTGTGTTGGACCTGGAACACATCTAAAAGTTCCTGATCCAAGTTGCGACACACAGTGTACTGCACACTGTCTCTGAATTCACACAAAGAGCCAAAATCTCATATTTCTTTACAAATGCAAGTCTTTAGAGATGGTTTCACTCTGCAGTAATCAGGATTCAGTAAAGATGGGAAACTGGTTCATTTCAACACTATATAAACCCAGTGTTGTCCATTCTATTAAAGCTACTGCAGTTCAGATTGGTCAGCATATGTCTGCTTGTTCTGATAAGAAAATTCTAGGAAATGTAAGAAACCAAGGTTTTTTTTTCAGGTGAATCAGTGAAATTGTTGGGGGCTTGTGAACATTTGAAAGGAATAGTTAAATAAGCCTACCTGATCCACAGACCATTAACTCCAGAAAATTATCTTCAACATGAGTTGTTGAAGGAGTGATGCAAAGTGCATGCTCTGCTGTTGAATCCTGCTACATGTGACACCTCCTGTCGTGACATATTTAATGGAGTCTATAGTTGGGATGAGGAGGATGGTCTTGCTAACCTTCTCCGTAACTCTTCCAGCTGTTCTGCTTTAATCACCTCACCCTGTCACAACCTCCAAATATGTTCAGGGTATCTTATGACTCATATGTTTTCTTTAGATTAATAAAGATACAGTGATAGCTCTCTCTCCTCTCTCAAGAATTGTGTCTCTCCACTCATCTCCATGTCTCCAAGGTTCTGGCATCTGGACCTACAGCTTCTAAACCCTTCATAGCTGCCCTCACTTTCACCTTGTTAATTCTGCGTACTTCTTTTTTCCTTGTTCCTCCAGCTCTTCTCGTTTTTGTAATTCATTCCCCAGGGTGCTCTTTCTGTCATGAACCACTAAAACCAGCTGCACATCGTTTCCAACTCCATCTTCCTGCTGAGTTATTCAATAAAAGAACTAGTGTTTTTTATGCTGCCCAAAATCAGTCTGGACTGAAAGAAAGCAGTAAGTCAGTCTACGAACCAGTATACAAATTTGAGAATGTGACTACAGGGACATAAGAAAATAAATTTTTTAGACCTAAAGACAGTTTGTGTGGATTAAATGGGCAGAAATCACAACTATAAATAAAATGTATTGAAGATGTATAGCAGAGTAACAGCAGGAAATCAGCAGCTAGTTGTTTCAGTGTTTTGTGCCCAGCAGTACATTTCACTACATTAACACTGGGGTCGCACTGCGTCACTTTCAGTGTTCAAAGACTTAGACAAAGACTTGCTGGACCTATGCAGCTTTCGCACATGACACGATTTAGCAAACCAATTCAAACCAGCTGATGTGTAAAACTCGCCTGGGCGACAGAGTAATAGAATCAAGGTGGCGCGTATTCGTAGAATTCGGCCCGACTCTATCTCCTTCTACAATCCCATAAAAAGAAGATGCTACTGAAAACATTTCAACTTTTCACCAGTTAACATAATGATTAGGAACTTCTTGACTAGATTCTGTATTAATTTATGTATCTCTATTGTAATAAACAATAAATTTATGTCAGGACTTGACTGCATTAAAATAACATTTGAGCTCATGAAATATTTTTATTCAGTTTGAGAATATTATTAATTTAGAAATGTCAGTTATTTCAATTAAAACCTAACTAAACTACTTCAATTGACAAGGTACTGACGCTTGGTAACTAAAGAGATTTTTTTACCTTTCTGTTTAATATTTCAAATGTTTGGTTTAATTTAGTATAGCCCTTCTTTATTTACTGAGAAGGACCATATTATGTTTCTCTTTTTCACTATGTGACTGTAATAATTATAGACATAACAGTGAAACCTAACTGATTGGTGGTATTATACCACTATATTGCGTTTATGTTTGCAATGACTTGTTGAATTTTCATTTGTAGCTTGTGCAGTACCGTTGAATACCACCTGAGTTCGCCCACCCCACCTTCATATTCTCCCCCCACCACAATATAAAAATCACACGACTTGAAAGTTGAAGCTCAACAATTACAGAAAATAATTTTAATATCTGTTAATTCACTGCAGCACATATTTATCCAGTCTTTTCGCACGGTGTAAGCAAGTGGAAAACGTGACAGTCCCTAGAACATGAAAGCAAATGTAAGAACATCTGTGTGATGTATTTCTACAGTAAACAATTGCAAATAAACAGCTACGAGGCACAATGCGGAGGAGTTGGCAGTGCAGTTTTCAGCATACCCCTGGAGGGTAAAGCTCTGCTTGGGTAGTCCACTACAACATACAACATTTGTGTCATGGCAGATGGAGGAAAACTCTCAGAGATCACTTAGAACATTGAGAATGACAGCTGCCCCTACTTTCCTTACACCTCCAGTGTACCTTCTGCTGGGACAGATGAAACTGGCACAGACAGAGCACTGCTACATCACGACAATGTGGAAACAATCATTTTTATTTGGCTAACAACAATACACATTTTGAGAAAAACAAAGCCAGTTGGGGACTCATCAGGTGGGTGAGGAATGATGAGCTGAGACTGAAGCAGGAGTTGCCACTTAGCGCCGTTGGTCGTTCATCTGTATTGTACTCCATTCGTAGGACTCTGCAGGAGGAAAAGAAGCAACTGATTTAGAACGGGTGAGTTAGGCTAATAGCCTGAAGATGATCAGAGCATACAAGAATTTAGATCACCTGGTTCTTCTTGGCTCCGTTTTCCCATCAGGCCAACAAACGAGTTGATTTTGTGTCCTGTGGAGGAAGTTTTAAAATTATAGATTATCGAAGTCCACTAGTTTTACTAAGCTTTAGACTAGAGGCTGGAACCCAGCAGGTCTTGGATGGTCGGTTTTTCTCATGTCTGGAATTTCAGAAATAGATCTGGATTATGTCCTCTGATGGAGGCAGAGCTTTTTCTCGAGAAAGTAAATCAAATGTTACATAACTTTGTGCTGGGTTATTAATTTAATTTTTATTTGTAACTGCAGCATTCAAACTTCTCCTTCCCTTTAGAAGGAGCTATTTATTACGTCAGAATTTAATTCTGATGTAATCACTCTGTAGTGTCAGAGTGAAGTTCATGTGAACCAGAACCCAAACTGAAAGCTGTTCTTAAACATGTCTGCAACATAGGGATACAAATATGCTGTCAGTCTGAGTGGAGGGCTGGGATACCATCGGTTCCTTGGTGCTGAAACAGAGTGAGGAACTGTGTTTCTCACTCTGCTTCAGAGTGAGAAACACCAAAAAGAGCTTCATGGGGATTCTGTATCCCTCCAAAAAAGACATCAAAATTTGCGTTTCGCTGATTAACTGACTTAAGAACCGATGCATTGCTCAGAAGTATAGAATCAAGTGAAAATCTATGTTGCCTCATGTGAAGGACAACCAATT